CTGCTCCTCCATATACTTCACCTGAACACTTCATACCACTTTTTCTTGTTTTTCCAAGTTAGACTTCCTGTGTCTCCTTCATTTTTTCTTTCACTCCAGTTTCATTCAAGTTTAAACACTAGTGTGACATTGGCTTTATTCCCACTTTTTCCTTTTTTATTTATTCTGTTTCCTTGTTACTTAATATCCAATTATTTTTTTAAAATATACAGACACTCTGGTTGCTATTTCTAAAGGTGCTTATAGACATCAGGAACATAAATCACATTGGTAATCATCAAGCACAAGGCACTTAAGTCTTTTCTGTTTCTCTGAGAATCTTAATCTTTCAAATGTCCTAATAAATCACCATACAAATCTCTTTTTTAAGCACAAACACACTGTGCTTTCTCAGCTTCCATATGCAGACAGTGAACAGAAGGTAATTACCTGAGCCTTTTGTAAAACAAGGTGCTATACCTTTAGGGACACAGCCTGTTCTGTTCTTTTATGTTTAAACCAAAGAAATTAGAGCATTTTCTGAAGTTTCCCTTCCAAGTACACCCAAACAAAGGAAAAATAAATAATACACACAGAATACACAAAAGCCACTATCAGCCTTTACCAAATCTACATGGTGTTAGGCTTGTGTAATAAAGGAGAAGACATACTAATTAACTTGTTGAATAAAGGAGAAGGTATAAGCAAGCAAATACACATATTTACTTGCACTCATAACTCAATCACAGCTAGTGGAAGAAACAACTGTCTGCAAAAAGACCAGCTCTCAGGGCAACTGGATAGTCAACATGCCTCCACAAAACAGCTTTGAAAATTCTTGAAAAATTTGAGTTACTATCTTGAACACTCTCTTAGGGTCTTTCTGGTGGAAATGATTCCCAAGAAATTGTTTAAGCGATGTTAAATGTGGTAAAAGTCCATTAAGTTTTGTCTGGACTCTAAGGTTCAACACTCAATGCTATTTATATATATATGTATATGTATACATACACACTGTCACAGATCCTTTGTAGGGTCTGAATAGGGATGAATAAATACAGATGCTCTCCATACAGAGGAAAAAAAAAACATGCAGAAAGAACCCTCTGAATCCTGGGCTGCATCAAAAGGAGTGTGGCCAGCAGGTCAAGGGAGGTGATTCTCAACCTCTGCTCTCACGAGACCCCACTTGGAATACTGTGTGCAGTTCTGGTGTCCTCAACATAAGAAGGACATGGAACTGCAAGTCCAGAGGAGGCCACAAAGTTGCTAAGAGGACTGGAGCACCTCCCCTATGAAGACAGGCTGAGTAAGTTGGGGCTGTTCAGCCTGGAGAAAAAAAGGTTGTGTGGAGACCTCATAGTAGTCTTCCAGGATCTGAAGGGACCTACAGGGAAGCTGGAGAGGGACTCTTTGTTAGGAACTGCAGTGACAGGACAAGGGGTAACAGGTTCAAGTTGAAGGAAGAGAAAGCTAGGCTAGATACTAGGAAAATGTTTTTTACTGTGAGAGTGGAATAGGTTGCCCAGGGAAGTGGTAGATGGCCCAACCCTGGCAGTGTTCAAAGCCAGGTTGGATGAGGCCTTGAGCAACCTGATCTAGTGGGGAAAGGTTCTTGCCCATGGCAGAGCAGTTGGGACTAGATGGTCTCTAAGGTCCATTCCAAGCCCTAAAATTCTATGATTCTGCCCAAAATATGTGCCTCCATAGCTAAACCTGAGGAAAGACTGAAATGGAAACAACTGACAAAAAATCAGAATTGGTGTCTCACTCAAGTAATATAAATGAGACAAGCTTGACTTTCTGAGCTTTTAAAAGTACTTCTAAGCTGTAAGATGTTTTTGCTGCAACAATAAAAAGTCAGGCTGCCTAAATAATTGAATTCCAGTAGTTCCATGGTAATTTTACTCTACAAGGTATAATCTTTCCCAAGTTCTTCTATAGACTTCTTTAGCATACTGCTGACTTTTTACTCTCTCTATATATTAGACTAAAAGGATCATTTTCAAAATTTCATTTTAGCCTCACAGTAGTTTTCCCTAGCCATTAACTTTGTACCCATTTAGAATTATACTCCCTTTCATTTCTGGGAACTGTATAGTGTTCTGCATTTAACAACGAAAGTGTTAAGTCTTCCTATATCAACCGCCTAATCCCAAAGTAGCACATAAGGGACCAAAAGTCATGAGTAGTATATCAGGTTAGCCATTTTAGTAATTTTCCCAGTTAGCCATTTTAGCTATTTCTTTGCCTTGTGGTCCCTTTGGAGCAATATTTTAGCTACCTCCACTTTGCACCTCTGGATTATATGTCCATTTGGTCAGTGTGCTACACTGAAGTGAGAGCTTTGTATCTGTGTTATCATATTTTAATGCACATTAGAAAAAAAGTAATAATGTATACTCACACATCCTAATTTGCCTGTAAGGCTCAAACCTGTGCTGTTCATGCCAATTTTACTGAAAGGTAAATTGAAGTATCAAGCAATTATGTGACTTACTCAAAGTCACTTGGGAATTCTGTAACAAAATGGAACCAAACTCAAATGCCTCGTGGCATCCATATGCTAGAGATAACACAGCATTGACAGGACACTCATGCTTTTCTGTAGTGGCAGCTGGAAACACAGTAGGATAGTCTACCACATCTCACATTGGCACAAGATACTTCTGGTTTTTTGTGCATAAAGTGAGGTGCACACTTCTGTCTGTAAACCAGAATTCACTCCTAGACCCACTAAGACAGCTTTGTTTTTTTGAATAGGCAACAGTTTTTGTTTCCAAAAGAAAGACAATAAGATAATTTTTTATTATTCAGGTAGTGTTTGAAACTTAGACTTCCTCACTTTCAATCTTCTCAAAATGAAAATGTACTGAGAAACAGCCTGTTCTGGTCATTACAATAGAGGAGGTGTTTATCCAATCTGAAGTCTACAGAGACATTTTTTTGGCAACAGAAAATTTTCAATTATATCTCCTGGAACTTTTATGCATTTCAAATACTTATCTCCCTTCTGTTGAGTTTCTAATAGATATTGCATGCCTTTGGCTCTGTGTCCAGAATCTTTGTGCCAAATTAGACTCTAAAAGAATTTCAGGTTTAGCTGATAAAGATGATAATGTAAAACACAAGTTCTTGGCTTGTTTTTCCATTTAGACTTCTGTAATTCAGGTGAATCAAAACAAATCACAGAAACCAATGGTCAGATGAAAATAGAAAACATCATATGTTTCAGTTCTTCATGGAATCCTCTTTGTTCAGCTCTCTTTAATGTAGGAGCTATTGACCTGTATTTCAACCAGTTAACTAGATTAGAATTTATTTGCAGCTTGGGTTTCAATCAGAACCTCAGTGTTCAATGGAGAGTTTCAGGTATTTTTAGAGCATCCCCTCTGCATGAATGTGTTTATAACAGCCTACTCAGCCCAAGACAATTTATGTTAATAACTCCACAAAACCATTCTAGCTGCCTTCCAAACCCTGTCAGTCTTTGTTCCACCAGTTACCATTGATAGGTCATACTTTACTTCTCATGATACAGCATCATTCATTTTTGAATTTTTCTTCTCTAGGGTTTTTTATCTATTTATCTCAAAATCTTGCAGCAGCTCTACTCGAAACATCTTTGTGTATTTAGGTAATTTATATTCTCAGCTAGTTTCCTTGGTAAGACAAGTGCCAGTTGTATTATATCTTTCATATTTATATACAAATTATGTCTTAATTAACAATAAAATACAAGAGCAAAATTGTGCAGTCTTCACAGGATTGCTATGGTACTACATCATTATTGCACAAGTGAAAACAACTTGCAGGATTCTTGCCTACCAATATAAAACTAGTTTTCAAGATTTAAGTGTGTAATAAATTAGAAAATATTTCTCTTACAGTAAATTTCTTCTGCAGTGTAGCACTAATTCATTCTCAAAGAATAAAATTTTCTCCTGTGAAGCAGAATGCACATTATTTAGAGGAAAACAAAAGAGAAAGAAGCAGCATGTCTTTACCCTCCGCACATCTTTGCCAAATGTTTCGCTGTAGCTAGTGCCCAGTATTTCAAACTGAACATAGGGGTTGGCGCCATCTTCTCTGAACTCCATGACACCAGTAAGCCCAGTTATATGGCCCTAAGGAAGTAAATTTCAGAAAGTTTAGAAGAGAACAAACTTGCTTTTATAAACACTCCACTGCATTAAAGATATGCCAAATCTGTCTTGAAAATTTACAGTGAACTTTAATGTGTCAACTGCATGTTCTTCAGCAGCTCAAACCCAGCACCAGACAAAAGAATACTCTTTTTTTTTTTTTTTTGGTACAGAAAATTACTTTCACACTAACACATCCACTGTTCATGGCCATCAGATCACCACTGCTCACAGAAACAGGCCCCAAAGAAAAAGAGAAGGACCTTAGTGGACTGTAAGACAACAGTTGTTTTACTGTAACTGAGGGCAGCAGGTTCAGTTCTGCAGTTGAATACAAAGGCATGAACTCACACTCCAAAAGAAAGAGTATGCCTGCTGTGATCCCAAGAGAGGCATGGACAAAAAACCAAAATTTTAAGTAGTATTAAAAACTCTCTGTGAAAGTATCACATGGTTTGATTTTGGGTTTGCAGCAAAGAAGCTTAAAGTGACACCAATGTTTGAATTAATTTAGCAACTAAAGATGGCATCATTAGGACTGGTTAGAATGAGCAAACTGCATCATTTTACTAGAGGAAAATTATTTCAGCAATATATATTGGGAAACAGATGGTTTCTTCTAAATAATTGCTAAAATCAGTATAGTAAAAAATGAATATTTTTCCACTAGTATTTGTGATCAAATAACTCTCATGCAAGAAGTTGCCATACATCTGCAAAGTCACAGTACTGTCCATATTTGAGTAATTCAGCACAGTGCAAGACAGTGTAACAGTTAGTGACAACTTAGCTAAATCAGATTCCTTTTGCTCTGGGCTAGAGTACACAAATTGATACTTACCAATGCTCAGCTAACTTTCAAAACTAGTTGAGGTGTAGTAAATGGAACATAACTGTTCAACCTTATCACTGGTTGGCTCTCCGAACTCCTTAAGTTGTTCTCTTGAGAAAAAGCATGCATCAATTTCTATAACTACTCCTAATCATACTATCTCCACAGAAGGTAGCTGTGAGAACAACAGAAGTGGAACACACACTGCAATGTGTGAAACTTGTCTATCATAAATCATGCACTTGTTTAATAGGTGTAGATTGTTCCTGGTAGTTGTAAATCACTTGCTTGTAACAAATCAAAGAAAAGTTGAATAGAAGTTAAAAACCTCTTCAAATGCTCAAGTAGAAAAGAAGCAGCTCTGTCAATTGCTCACACAGCTGTGGTTTGTCTTTTCTCACCTTCTTAATAGTCTCTAACATGGATCTCCCTCCATTCCAAGGTTTGGTGGATTTCCTCATGCAGTTCAGACTTGCCATGCTGTGCCATTTCCTGTCCTCCAGTTTTCTGTGGAAAGCATTGGCCAGCATGAGCACACTGTCATACAGGTACAGGTTGGAAACCTGCAAACAATAATAAGAATGAGGCTCTTTGTTTTTCTGGGCATCTTTGAAAGAAACTGTAAAACCCAGCAAACAAACAGAACGAAAGAAGATGCAAGTCAAAACAAAAAGCTGGATATATTTGAGGCATTTGAGACAAATACCAGCATTCCTCAGTCCTTCTGGCCCAGGGTTTCTGGCACACTTGCATTGCCTGGGCATTACCTACACCACTGCAATGCAGTGCAGCAAAGATGTAAAATATCACACTTCACATATAAACTCAAGCTACAGGAGGAGTACAGCTATCTATCAATGAAAGACAAGGACTGCCACTTTGTCAGGGATAGATAGAATGAAGTTCTTGGGGTTTTATTCTTGGTTTTTTATTCATTTGAGCAATCTCTTTGATAATTTCTGCCACAACAAAATCTAATACTAATGCAACTGTTCAGAACAGAGGGAGGAGAAATGACAGTATTTTTTTGGTCTTATCATCTCTCTCCACCAAATATACAAGAGACTGGTTACTATGCTACTTTCTTTCTCTGAAGCTATTGATTTTAGCTTCCTTATCCTTCAATTTACATGAGAGATAAAGAGAACAATAATTGATGACACAGGCTCCAGTAAGAACAGAACACTGCCCAAGTAATGCTGAACTATGTACTTCATTTTTCAAACCAAAACATGACTGGAAACACAAGATCAGATGTTTGACATGCACTGGTATCCACCACAGTGGTAAAACTTTAGCAGTGGAAGTTGGCTAAGGGAAGTGACTTAAAAAAAATAATTAGATACTCTCCACCTGTTTCCAGAGTTCACATGCACTCTTCTTTAAACTTAGGCCCAGGGGATTTGAGTTACTCTTTAATAAGCTCAAATCTCCAGTTCACATAATTTGCCAGATACAGCCTTTTCATTATTATTAAAAAGAAATTCTCCTAGCTGAAGTCTTTAATCATGGTGATCCATGAATTTGCCATTTATCTCCTGGATTTTTCTAATTCACCTTATAAAGTGATGCCTAGAGACCAGGAATGGATTACATGTGGAAGTTAATGCAGCTGTATACTTCCTATAAAAATGTCACTCTCTAAGTGTCCCAACAAAAGTGTCACTCTATGAAAGCTTAAACATAAATTACTGTTGCATCACTGGCTCCAAGTAATCTTCTGCTAACTCTAAGATGCTAATCTTCAGAAACAAAATGTTTCATGTTCCACAATCTGAGGTTTGATGTTCATTGAGAACTTAGGCACTTTGAAAAATCTTCTAATATAAGTAAATCTGAACAAAAGATGTAAAAATAAAAATCAATTTTGAAAGAATCAAAACGCAAAGAAAATACAGAAAAAAAAAAAAGGTTGAACATACCTACTTATTTAAATGACTAAACATCATAAAGGATCTTAATGTGAAAATAATGCAAAACCTGAGATACTATCAGTGAGAATCTCTCCTATCTGGTATTGCCAGTTTTCCCCCCTTCTTTTCTTTCCAGCCTTGCTGAACAAGCAGTCCACATTGCCTATATGTGCTATTTGACCCAGTTAATTCTTTCCCTTTTAAAATAGTTTCCAAAGTAGCTACTTTCCAGATTTCCTTTCTTTTTAAGAAAAGTAAGTAATTAAAGAGTTAATAGGAGCCTCAGCAACCAAGCTGCTTCTGCTCAATTGCATTGAGCAGATATTTTCCAAACAACTTTCAAATAAAGCAACCAAGCGGATCCTTATTATTCAACAGGGCACTTTTCCTCTTCTAGGTTAAACTACTCTTCACAGAAAAAAATCAAAACAAACCTCAGATCCCACAAGATACACCACCACAAACCACACACTACAAAATCCACTTACTTAGAAACAGGCTTTATGTGCATAAGGAAAAATACCATTTTTTATGTGCCATCATGATCCTCTTTGCTCCCCACTGAATTTGATTTTACACCATCACTTTTAACTTACAATTCCTTGTCTCTTGCCTTGGAATCACCACAAATCAGAAATGCTCTGTATTTTGTCTGTTTGGCACTGATCTTTTGCAGTTCTGGATAACTGTAGCCTCATTCCCAAAACCAGTTTGCTTGGTTTGCTAGCAGAGAGCTTTAAGGCAAAATATAAGACGTAATTGGGTTCACTGTTTTCTTTCTCTTTCTACTTTTTATGAGCTGGGAGAAGACACCACAGTTCTGCATGTCTAATGGTCTGAGAACTTGGAAGAACTGCATTGAGGATCTCAACTTAAATGACTTGAGATCCACCATCCAACTCAAATTACCTTGTCCTGCACAGCAAAAACAAAACAATCTTGTGTTTACCAACCTAATCATCACAGTTCAGTCAGACCTACAATGGACCTTGTATCACTGTTGTTCCATTAATTTCTTTTGAACCTACATAAACTGAGTGACAGCAAGAAAGAGTTTGCACAAGAGGAGTCTTCCACTACTTATGTTCTTCTATCATACATCTGGAGATATGCACCAAGACAGAAGAAAATGTTGCAGAGAATACAGCAAGTTATATTTTGCCATGGAAAGAATATTCTGCACGTCCTGTTGTACACACTTATCAACTGGTATTTTGCCACTCCAGTTCTCTTCTACTGAAAGCCTCATCCAAACATGAGTATATGATACTTTTTAACAAGCAAAATTAATTTCTTCATATAAACATACTCTATTTACTCCAGTAAAAATGACATGCATACATATCTTCATTTTACTCTTTACTCACTGGAGTCAATACCCTACAGAACAGTAAGTTGAATCCTATTCACACAATCAACATTTCTTATTTAGAACACAAAATATGCAATCTTGGAAAAACATAATGTCAAAACTGTTGGATCTGTAATATCAAGAAAACTAATTCTCTTTATAAAATTTTTTATTTGTTCAGTTCTGCTAGTTAAGCCATAAATGAACACTAAATATAGAGCTCCACTCTATTAAGGGCAGAACCCTTTAAAACTTATAAAGCTTGAGTCAAGGCATCTGGTTTTGCAGACTAAAACTCAGCGTGTAGACAAATGTCTTTATTTAAAATAAGACAGGATGTTCACACAACAGTATTTCTTCCATAGTCCTCTAGGTCAACAGTTGCTTTGAAGTGGAAAAAGTAATCAAGAACAACAAAAAAAATCATAGTAACTTAGCAAATAATGTCCTTTTGATCTTTCACAGTGGGCAGAGCAAAGCCCAGCTCCTGACCATCCACAGCAGTATAAACTGAGTGCCTTTGACTAATCCCAGATGGGAACTAGCTTTATGCTAAAGAGAATTCCTCAATCAGGTCCAATCTGATGCCTGAGCAGTGTTGTATGAGTGTAGCTGATCAGTTGATTCCTTCAATACCTACAGTAAGATATATTATCAAATTACTATATATTTTATGTATGTTTTTCATATTAATTTCTGAGATTAAAAAGATAAGAATACTTAAATGCCTCAATTATGCTCCTGTTCTCAAAATAATACTCACTTTCTACTTGAATTCATTACTTTGTATATATTCCCTTGTAGAAAAAAAAGTTACTTAAGACACAGAAATTCGGGCCTGATCTCACAGTAAATCCGGTGCTATAATAATTTCCTTTATTGTATTTTAATACAGCAAAATCTCTGCATATGTGCTAGATCATATTTGCAACACATAAGAGTTTTCTATAACCTCCAGAATAGTGATGCTGTGCAAAGAAAAAGGATTCAGCAGACATAACCTATATACACTTGTTACTGCAACTGCACACATATTTTAATTTCAGTGATCTATCAAACTCCCTGTGAGTACAGACATGACCACTGAAAGGGAATCTGTGAGATATCCAAGGGATCAGCTATACACTAATTCCACTAGTACTGTCAGAGGCATGAGAAAATAGTACATTTAAAAATGAGCCTTCAGGTAGCATTCAGAATTGGTAGCAAAGTAAGAAAGAAGAAAATTAAGGCAATGTACTTGGCTATTTAGGGTTTTCAAGGCTCCAAAACATTTACTATTTCCCCTATTTGTATATTCACAAGGGAACAGAGGAGGGAAGGACATTGATCTGTCTGAAGAGATTCCCCTTCAAAGAATAAAAATTCCTAGACTAGAACAAAGTGTTTAATTTCTGTCCTGTTTGGAGGAAGAGAGTAATTTTCAGTTCTTTCACTCCACTGCTGACAGTGTGAGAGCTGGAGGTACTGAAATGCTTTTTGACCTATCTGCTATAAGAATGTTGGTGACTGCTTCACCAATACATTAGAGTATGCCCTGTACATGAGTAATTCTAGGCATGTTCTGGTTTATCTTCTGGAAATTATTCCAGACTTTATGAAACTCTCCTTTGCAATGAAGAAATAAATCCACCATACACTAGTAGAGCAGAGAAGAAGTTTTCAACAGGAATGGAAATCTATCACATTATTAAGAGTCATTTCATAGAGGTTTCTATGTGAATTTAATGAGACTTTCCAGAGTGATTTTATTTTCAAAGTTATATATGAAGATAACTTCTATCTCCTTCAGAAGGACTAATCACAGACAAGTGCTCTTCTGGGAAGGTCAGCAAGCCACAAAGACTGACCCCAACTTCTAGGTGGCCAGCAGAGCCAGGAGTCTAAGCAGAGAATAATGCTGAAGAGACCATTTGGGAAGGCAAGCTGACACTGAGATGCCACCACTTCAAAAACTCATTCCCAAGTTGGGCATCTGTACCCTGCTGCTGCCAAAATTGCTCTGTGAGTGGCCACAGCAGTCAGCTCTAAGGATGAAGCAGATGGAAGAGGAGCTCAGACCAAGTGCAGCCTGCCAGCAGTAAAAACACTTGCTGCCCGGGGAGTGATATCATGGTGACTGTGTATGCACACACCAGCATGACTTAAAACTGTGTTTCAACTTCCAAAGTTCACGTACTGCCAGACACAGTCACACATTTGTGTCTTTAATGACAGAATGCATCCTACTAGGAGCAGCAAAGATCAATGGTTTACTTACGCTGTGCTTACCAAGACATTGTCCTCTGCCTGGGCACAC